TGTTGGCCCATGAGCTAAAACTCTCAACTCCAAATTTGAACTGTAGAACTATTGATTTTTCGGTCATTCAAACAATTTTTTGTCTCTAATGAAGCGAAGATAATATTTGGTTCAAATGTATGTCTTGTGAAAATGAGATATATATAGCTACATATCACTCTTTATAAAATCCAAATCTTATTTTTCTAGCATATTTGCTTTTGTCTTTAGGTGTTAATGTGTGTACTATTAAGATACCTATATTAAAGCATTGGAGTACATGAAGCTGAACTATAGGTTATTTGGCAAGTTTTTTTCCATCCCTAGGCAGAAAAACCCACAATCAATTTATCAAGGAACTAATGAATAAAATGTAAATCTTTTACATGGCTGGGCACTCCCTTGTTGCCAATATCAATATATACTATACACTGTTTATTTCAAAAAATAAATAAAATCAAAGACTGATTTTCACCTAAAAGAAATGCAACAAGAAATCTTTATGATGCAGAATAGGAAGGACCTAAAATGAACATATATCAATAATATATATTAATTTAATTGTAGCCTTTTAGTGTTATGAAGGTAGCTAGTTTATCTAGGTATTATTAATTACAGGCTTATTTTAGTATGAATCTATTATTTCCTATCTAATTAGATACTGTTCAGTTATTTTTCTATTATGGGTTAGTTAAATTATTTAGATTACTTCCTATGTCTTAGATTTCCTACTTTCTTAGTGCTTTCTATTTAACTTATTTCCTATTTACTAAGTTTTCTACATTTTCTATTTCTGTTATATTTCAGTGCCTATAGATAAGATACCCTAACTTAGTTAGTAGGTACACTATTTATTGTTATTATTTAAAGACAAATATTGCTTTGATCCTTGAGATTCCAGATTTCTCTCTTTCTCTCTTGTTCTTCAATTTTCCCTCTAAAGTCTTACCTCATATCCCCTCTATCTATCTAGTATTCTATTCTTTTTTTTTTTCCATATATTTCTCTATTTCTTTAGATTGAAGGATAATTGTGGTTCTACCATTATCTGCTCTACATTAGTTGGTATCAGAGCCTAAACTCGATTCATTGCTGTCATAGTTTACTCATTTCAAAATACAATCCTACTCCTGCCAAAAAGAAAGAGAAAGCACTAACATATTGAACAACCATTAGCAGCAATAGGAGAGAGAAGACAACATTGGTTGGGTAGTGTAATCTTTAGCCACCATTGGGAGGTGGTTGGTACAACCCCTTCGATTGGCTTCAGAGGGATCTGATTTGCGCCACCAAGTTTGAACAGTCACTGACTTCGAAAACGGCAATGCTATCTGCGTGCAATTATTCTTACGGCTATTTTGTTGGAACCAATCCTTCATGCTACCAGGCGTATGCCAAGACCATATCTGAAACCACCGCCTCTAGACATCTCATTCGTTGGAAGATCATTGCCAGAGACTCGCAAAAAGGAGTGCGTGACACCATGCATCGGCCAGTGCACTTGTTCTTTGTTATCTGAAGTCTTTTGTTGGCTAGTTCAAGTCGGTTTGACTTGATTCAGGTGGACTTTTTTGGTTCTGCCACGTTTAAACTTGTTCTTTGTATTTTCAAACTGATTTTCGAGGTTTTCATGTGTGCTCTTTTAACTTGTTGAGGTTAATTGGTTGAATTCTTGTCCATATTCATTTTTCGGCAAGTTGATAATGGAGATAAAATTTGCTGGGAGTTGAAGGAATTCTGAATTGATAAATATGAGTACAAGTAATCGTGTTATTATAGCTACATCCTATCGGTATATGGTTAAATTACAAAGGATGATCTATGAGATAATTTATGCTAACTTTTTGGTCAATATGGATATGTGGAGCAAATAAAAATTAGTCTAATTTCTAGGTTGCAAGCTTTTGTGACTTATGAATTTTGTAAAGATGTTATTTGAGCTCAGCATTCTCTTAAAGAATATTGCTTAATATGATAGGTATTATCAAATGGAAGTTTAATATTATTTTTCAATATCTTGTTTTGACATCTGCCACAGAGTAAACCACTGCCTATTAGACCTTCAACTATTTCTACCATAGAGGCCAATGATAGAAAATAACTTCCTTCGAACACAACGTACAACTTTCATTATACTTTACTCTCTAAAGAACAATTTTTATTAAAATTTCAAAAGGTGCGGAGTTGGAATCCCATGCTAACTAAGATTCTTGTGGTTTTGGAGGATCCAACTATATGAGACCAGGAACGAAGAGTTTTCCTCCATTTTTCGACTCGACTCTTTCAAATGTTGGTTTTAAGAATGAGTGATTGCCCTTCTTTTATCCTTACTGCTTAACTTGAGAGTGGACAACTAATGCATTCAACTTATTGAACAAAGTTCTATAGTTGGTCCGAGACCCCTAGATCTTGAAGTGTCCTTGGGCCGATCTC